TCAGCCGTTCTTGAGTTATAAATAGTGTAACTAGTACGACTTTCTTTTATATATATAGATTGCAATCATTCCCTGTTACCCTGGCAATGCAGTAGTAGTGACCTAAGTAATTAAAAATCTGACTTGCCACTTTACATGTAGAGTTTATTACACGGATGCCATTCCATTTCTGTCACTTTTTCATTTATTTTTTTTTTTGTTGTGTACCATCAATTGTCGGTCTTCATTGACGCGATACGGAATTACGCCCGGTGCCATAATATCTCGTTCTATAGACAAGGGTAGGAATGCATTACAGCTTTTCAAAAAATGCTGCGACTACTGACTAACGCCCCTTTTGTATCCCCGTGAATTATTTGTTAAAATGCAGAGGCGAATTTTTACATTCATACGTTCGTACGTGTACGTTTTTTGCACAGGTGTAAATTTATTGATATGTATGTATGTGTGTACGAATCGTACTTAGACACATCGCTGAAAATTGTGAATGGATGATGCACGGACCATTATTACGATACGACATAATGACAGTACGATTAATAAAACAGGATTCTGGCGGAGTCCTTTTCATAGCGGCTTTTAGAAGATTACAAAGCCCGTACTTCGTCATTCGGGTATTTTCGATTTGCGTGTTAAATACTGAACAATGTTCCGAACGATTGCAGCTTGGTAATAATTGTTAGATAGCGTACATTGGGATGCTTCGTTTCAGATAATATTTTTACTTATCAATTCCGTTACATCTTTTTTCAAAATGAAACTTCTTTACGCACGGTAGGGTAAGTTCGTTTCATGCGAGTTGCTATGTAACGAAATCATGCAACGCATTTCCGCCGCTGTCTGTTCCTATGTATGCTCAGATCTTTAAAACTACGCAACGGATTTTAATGCGGTTTTTTTTTAATAGGTAGAGTAATTCAAGAGGAAGGTTTGTATGTATAATACATGCATAATGTAGTAGAGAAACACTAATAATTTTAAAGGTTTCTAATGAGATGTCTTAAATAAACACATTTTTTTGCGCTTACATTGCAAACGCTGGCTGAACCCTACGATAACCCACAATAGCCATTTTTTATCCTTTACTTTTTACGAGACATAATGGCTTATTTACGAAGCGATTGTAGGCAATACAGCATTAATCCTTATCCAATTAAGTACTTTTAAATACATTGTGCATTTAATACAGATCAATATGNAGAGAAACACTAATAATTTTAAAGGTTTCTAATGAGATGTCTTAAATAAACACATTTTTTTGCGCTTACATTGCAAACGCTGGCTGAACCCTACGAGACAGATCAAAATAATATACTACAGTAATGTACATCTTAAAAGGGTCTACAAAAAAGTCCGCGATGGTATATATCTATCCCTTAGGGATAACCCACAATAGCCATTTTTTATCCTTTACTTTTTACGAGACATAATGGCTTATTTACGAAGCGATTGTAGGCAATACAGCATTAATCCTTATCCAATTAAGTACTTTTAAATACATTGTGCATTTAATACAGATCAATATGTCCCTTTACAGCATGTAATTTAAATGAATATTTTCGAAGATATTACAGATTTAAACTGCGGTTGCGGCGGTACCGGCCGGTTTGTATTGCTTAATGACAAAACAGCTGTGATTGTTGTATATAAAGACATTCTATAGTATATTTACTACCAGCATTGCACCCGTGCACCCCATTAAACCAATTCCTTAACCCCTATCCCGGTATGTTTGTGTGTTCGAAGAAGTTTCACTTCAGTAGCGTGTTGTATAATTACACGTTGTATTTTTTTATTTTAAATAATGATTTCCTTTCGAGATACATATATAATATACCTGTATATTTCTTTTTCTATGCCTCCCATACATTCACATCCTGCCTCCTGGTTTTGTTTCCTTTCCTTTTTTCTATGACTTTTTTATCATTCCGTGTTCGCTGTGTTTGCGTTCATTAGGTCTTCCATTCATGCATTTGCACTTGTATCATTACATGTTTCGTCTATTCTGGTATATTGTATCACATTCTGCATGTTTTGTACTCGCTATTCGTCTAATATTCGTTAGGTTTTCGTTCATTGCACGATACCTATCAGTTTTCTTCTTTCAACATGGTGAAATGTAAGTAAGTAAAAATGGTAGTATGGCACATGGTGTAAGTAAAATGCATTCTAATATTTTCAGGTTTGGTTTCTTCTCTTACCAGATATCTTTTCTCCTATTCTTATACTTTAGTGATTACCAACCTGCGAGGGAGGCACTTGTCAACATTATTGCTTTTAAATATGTGTACCCTAAAGAGATAATTCCATGACTTCCTCTGTCTCTTCATTATTCAATTTTCATTTGTATATTTTTCTTCTTCCTCTCTTTTGGAATATCATCACTTTTGATGACTTTTTTGGGTTTAGTTCTAGTTTCTTCCTTGTTATGTACATTCTTATAATTTCGGGTAGTTTTTCTATTTCTTCCTTTGCTTCTGCTATTATAACCAAGTCGCCAGGGTAGTAAAATTCCTCCAGTTTTGAATTGCAACCCCTTCTTCTCGTCTCCCCTTGATATACTCCTACATTTCCGCTGTGTAAGTAATGAGGGGTAGGGGATTATTAGGCAGCCTTCTCTTACCCATTTTTGGGCTCCAAATTCTGCTGTATATTTTTTTCAATCTCCTATTTTTAAATTTGTTTCTTCAAATATTTCCTGTATTAATTCCTGTCTCAATTTCGTTATACCTTTTTGTACAATACGTGTCAAATAAGTTTAATTTTAAATTTAAATGTACCTATTTATGAATAAATGTTTACAACAATACTACCTGGGCTTTGTAAAACAAGTTTAATGCTTCTAAAACTTACGTAAGTTGAGTTGTAAAACATTGTATGGGTTGGCAAATGTTATTTAGAGTTTTAATTAATTGGCACGCTGTAAAGTTTAATCAAAAAACTAACTGGGGCTTCTACGGCGACGTTCCCCTTCCTATTCATTAATCATTAGCGGCTCAATTTGTAACAAGCAGGTGTTAAACGAATGTGGCTTTACTCGGACGACGGCACGACCGAATCGATATTTACCCTCCCGAGCAACCTAATTTTAAATTTTAAGAAATTTCAATTTCAACTACGCACAATTAATTTTAAAAAAATTCTTACACAGAATATCTTCAATTTCTCCACTTTGTAACTCTGAATAGCATTTATTTTTCTATGAAAGTATAGTATTTGGTATGTACAGTCATCAGTTATCACTATTTAGTCTTTAACCCGAAGACTGGTTGGATATGCGCCTCCACTTTTCTTATTTTGAGCCAATCTTCCCATTTTTAGAGTTTTCTATTTCTATTATGTCTCCTGCAGCAAACTCATCGTGTTTGAGAAAGTATCTTATCAACATATTTCGCCTTTTGTATTTACACCCATAATGCCCTCTCTTCTTGTACATCTTTCTGATGCCTCTTCATTTATAACATTTTCTGTATTTACGGTACATACCCTTTCATATCACCACATCTCAGAAGCTTCTAACTTTTACTACCGTTTACGATTCAAACCCATACAGAGTCATGCTCCAAACATCAAAAGGTATACATTTAATAATCTTTTTCCAATTTCAAAATTAATCGATCTCAAACCAAAAGTTAAAGTTAAAAGCGATCCGACTCTGCACTGTTTAATATGTCTACACTCATTGGCCATCATCATGTTTCGCACCCGTACAGCACTGTGCTCCAAACATACACCTTAAATAACCTTTTTCGAACTTCTAAATTAACCGTTCCCGAGCATAGAAGTTACTTCTATCTTTGTTTGTATGCCCAGGAATCATCATCAACATAGGGTCGTCAGTCGTAGGGCTGGTTGGACACGCACCTCCACTTCTGCCTATCTTGAGCTAATCTTCGCATTTTCCTAAAACTAGAAAATCCTTAACTATTTGTGAACAGTAACATAACCTAGGTCTACCTCTACTCCTCCTAACTCCTGCTTCTACATCTAATAGATTTTTAACTAACCTATCATCTTCATGCTTGAGAAGGTGTCCTACCTGCCTATCTCGCCTATTTCTGAATAACATCTATAGCATTAATAGTTCGTAGGCTTTCACGGCCGATTTCTAATTGACAATGAAAAGCTTCCCTGCTTTTCTGCCGTGGTCGAATTCTAATTGCAATTATCCCTAATTAATTAAGACGACTCGACCCTACGCTGTCCGTTGTTTTATATGTCTATTGCTCCTTTCATCCTGAATTATCTGAGCTCCTAGATATAAAATATAAGCGACTTCTTCTGACCTTTCGTCTCCTATTTTTATATTTACTCTTTCCTTACTTGTTTTTCTCATTGTTTATTTTCATACCGTACTATTTGGTCAGAACCATTTTCTTTTATTTAAGGCTATCTCTAACTTCTCCTAGTTAGATCTACAAATCTAAGCATATCAATCATTTGCCCCTGCATACTTAATGATGTTTATCGCGTCTTCGATATACTAATTAAACAGCATGGATATTTTCCGATAAATATCTCTTTGTTTGTACAAGCTATTTATACGATGTAACATGCGTTTTTAAACAAATAATAGTTAAATCAAAAAATCGGTTGTCTGTAAAGTCGGTTTACTGACGATAGTTGAACGTGACAACGTCATAAGAAAATACTGATGGGATGGTTTTATTTTTCAAAAGAAAATTTTAATTTTATTTGTTTGATAGATGTTTTGTATGGATATAGAGAAGGAGCTAAATGGAAATGTATTATTGTATAGCAGCTGTCCACGCGGACACATCGCTCACTCAAGTAGGAGAGAGACAGATGTCGAACGCTGCCGAACGCGGAGGCCGATTGTGCCTCTTTGTCGCTCGTTCCGCGCTCTCGCTTGCACTTCAAGCCTTAAATGGAACGCCTCAGAGCGAGGTAACGCCGCATGAGTCATGTTTTCTGGTGCGTGCAGCCGGCTCCATCGAATTATAAGACGTTGTCACGTCAAAATGAATATAGGTACTTACCTCCCGTGACCTCGCACGTTATGTTAACGGAAGAGCCTTCGTTGTAGGGTCCAAGAATATGGTAGGGTATGTTTGAGCCGTTTTCCCCCAATATCGTTAACTTTTCGGGGGGAACTGAAACAAAATTTTTGTTGTAATTGATTTTCTATATATTTATTCGTCCTATCTCAAATTTATTTAGATAATTGATTCAATTTAGAAGAATAGATTAGAAGTCTCCTTGTTGGTTTCGTTTAACATTGATTAGCGTCATCAAAAAGTGCATTTTACAAGTTTAAAGGTCTCAAGACTGTTCATCGTCCTCTTATTTATTTACTGTAAAGTATATTTATTTTCCTTCACCTTCTATATCTGAAAATCCGTTTGAAAAGCAAACTTAACAACAGCCTATCTCTCGTATAATTGTATTATTCGTTGGAAAAGTCTTATTTACATTAAAACAATTTTACGAAGCAGATAACTTACTTATTACTGATAGATTGACCCTGACGTTTCTGGTCGGACTCCGCTGGAAGTCAACCCGACAGTGATACATGCCTGCGTCTGAGTCCTTAACGTTTTCCAGTAGCAGCTTTGCTGGTTCATCCTGATACCGGAACATCGCTCTTTTGCCCAGCAGTGATTCTTCAGACCAGTGCTTGCCTAATTCAAGCTGTTTATCACGACTATCGAACCTGTAACAATCAAAATAGTCTTTCACTTATGCAGGAAAAAGAAAGTTCGTTAATTATTTTTGGTTCAGTTTAATTTTTATTGTTTTTTTTTTTTTAGACGTCAGAGATAGATTTGGTTATCATTATTGGATCTATTTTATTTTATTGTATTGGAAATTTTCATAATTTCAAATGCATATAATGGTAGTCAAATATCTCTTGAATGTTCTTTTGCAAACAATAATAGTCCGATTTGGTCCTAATGGTTAGTTTTCGTGAAGGTCTTCGACGGTAATGTAATTGTGTGCAGGTTACAGGAACTTAATAGCTCGAGGCAGAGTCATACTTTGTTGGGTTTTTCCTCTTATTGCATGCCAGGTATTGGTGGTGGCACCCGAACAATTTTTGATTTTGTTGCATAATTTAGAGTTAGTTACGTTTTGTCCTTCTTCTTATCAATTTGAGTTTTTTATTTATATTTTCTTTGGCGATTACCGCGCCATTTGTGGTATTTTCTAAAACGCGCTGTTAAGACAGCATGTAAAAGTTGGTCTATGTTCTGAAGGAGCTGTCTGCGACGCGCTGATGAGATCCAAAAAGATCGAAATCGCGATCCGCGTCTGGCAGTTTCGACAGAATACAGACCACTTCGAATTATTCTATTCGATTATGGTAACGTGCCTATTACGTTGAGGTTAGCTACGCTGGGATTCGTTTCAGCAAGTAGATATCCATATATTTAAATGGACCTTGTTGGAGCATACGTAATCCTAAAATGTAACATCGTACTACAGACTACAATAGTCTAGTAACCAATACATAATTTCCCAGACAAATAAAGAAAAATATGGAAAAAGTATTTTTGTGAAATTTTTTCAGAAATTCGGGACAAGTAGTTTTATCTCGATCAGACATCGGTTTCGCTTGTTTATTGAAAGATATATATAAAATTTTTTTTTATCAAATTTTAGCATATGGAGGTCATAGAGAACTTGAAGAAACGTCAGAATGTCCTCATTAAAAANCACAACTTCATTAATTTTAGTTTAATTAATTTAGAAAGAACAATTCGAAACATCATTTCTGAAATTAAAATGGTTTCAAAACATTTTCAGTAAAAGTTATCTATATTATAAATTACAAAAAAATTAAAATTTCATTATTTTTAATATTCTTTACTTTCAAAATTAATCTTATCACTTAAACAAAATGCTGTTATACCTGTCAATGTCTTCGTATCAACGTGAAATGTACACTAGGTATTCGAGTTGGTCAAATTTCAAAAAGAATAACTTAAAATCAAATTGTAACATTACTGGTAATATTAGTGGCCAGAGGAAGAGTATGGGTTGCTTTGTTGTCTTGTTTCTCTTTGTTGATGTTCATGTTATAAAGTTAATGAAATGGACGACTACTAAAGCGCATTTTGCTACTTTTCGTCCTAGTTTAAAAACGAAACGAGTAAATTTTAAAACTTGCCGCAATCTTACGACTTGGTAACAATCCGCTTTGTGCGCCACTAAACCCCCGAACGGCGCTCTTTTATGTTTACAACCGTGCCCATAAAAGATGACTGTAAAATTCGCATCTTTTGAGTTAGTCTCGAATTGAGTAACTCAACTAACACAGGTACTAAAATGTACATTGACAACTACACAACCAAGCAAATCACAAAAACATTAGGTTATTAATATAAATACAGTCCATAGACAAAAATTTTTAGTCTCTCAGAGTCTTTCAGCGTCTCTGAGAGCGTCTCTCACTGTTTTTCACAGTCTCTCAGTTATTGCCTAGGTGTTTTTATGGATCTCTCACAGTCTCTGTATGAGAGACTCGAACGATAAAATTGTTAATTCAGAGATTCGAGTCTCTCACAGAGAGACTGAATGAATAAAACTGAAAAATTGAAAGACTTGGGTCTATCGTAGAAAGACTGGGACTTGAAATTTCAACCATCAAGACATCACTTATTGAGAGATTTGAGTCTCTCGCTTAGAGCTCGATGGCGCCTCAATGCCTGCCTGTACATAAGTATTATAGACACAATAATATAATTTAAACACTGAACATGCATCGAATCGAAAAGCATCAAACGTAAATTGCTCAATTATGCAGAATAGAAACTTATTACATGCTTAATTGTTCCAATACTTGAATATTGTTATGCCAGAAATTTAAATCATTAAACAATTATTTGAATATTTAAATATGAAAAGTTCCGACCCTCAAGTAGAAGTTGAATCCTGAAACTATTATCTTGTCCTTGCATAGTTTTACATACTTAACATATTGCGTACAAATTTATTATAAAACATAGGATTATCCACGTAGTTTCTATATAAAAGTAAACGTCATTTTTTCCGATACGTATCATTTTTATTTTCAATCCCTGTTGCAATATTTCCTTCCCAGTATTTATTTAGGAAATGGAAAGCGACAAGCCGGATGATTTTTTTTTTCAAGTCAACACAAATAAATCGTACAAATATACCTACCGACAAAAAATATACCTTCTGCTAAGATAAATATCGCAGTAGATCCAAATGATATCAACGAAACCATGACACAACCTTAATCGCTTGCAAATCCTCTCAGTTGTAAACACGATTTGTTTTTAGAACCCGCCATTTATATTAAATCGCCGTCTCTCTACATAAAGATATAGGTATATAGGATGTAACGGAATTAAATGCCGAGCTTGAAAGAGGCGATAGAACACTATAAAATATGAAAACTAAGTAAATGTGGGTATAAAATAATTTAAAGTGGTCTGTATTCTGTCGAAACTGCCAGACGCGGATCACGATTTCGATCTTTTTGGATCTCATCAGCGCGTCGCAGGCAGCTCCTACAGAACACAGACCAACTTTTACCTGCTGTCTTAACAGTGCGTTTTAGAAAATACTACAAATGGCGCAGTAAACGCCATCTGTAGCACGATGCTACATTTTAGGATTACGTATGAATACAGACCACTTTATTAGATTATGCTAACGTCCCTATCACGTTGAGGTTGGCTACTCCGGGATTCGTTTTCAGCAAGTAGATATCCACACAAGTGGACCTTGTTGGAGCATACGTAATCCTAAAATGTAGCATCGTACTACAGATGACGTTTACCGCGCCATTTGTAGTATTTTCTAAAATGTGCGTATGTCTGAAAGCTCACCGTTTCAAAGAAAAACGTAGTTGAAAGTACAGGTAAATTCAATTCCGGCCCTGGTATTAGAAATACGGCCCCGCAACGCCGCATTCAAGCAGTTGGTATAATTACCAGCATCAGTAGAGTATTTGTTCTGTATTTTTTGCTCATGTATTGTTTATTTGTTAGATCATGTGCATCCTTATCATTTGCAGCGAGTGCAAGACTTGCAAGTCAGCGATGAACAAATGTTTTTATTTATATATAATACTGAATTGTTTATGTTGTTTATCTTAGATGTTTGATAATCGGCAATGTTTACAATGTCCATCCATGTAGCTGTTCTACTCGCTATTCGCTAGATATTTATTTTGCCATTCACGCACAGGGCCGGCTTAGGATTTTATATTAATGTGATTTTCTTAAAAAAAAAAATTGCCCTTAACCAGGCTGCTAAACTCACCGTGCGATTGTTTTTTGCATCTAATTTGCTTCCTCCAACGGTAGGCTATTATATCTTTTACACTTATGTGGAATTCAATCTGATGTTACAAACACCACTACTACTAAAACTATTTTCATTTTCTACTTTGTCGTTAAATTTTTTATTGAATGTTGACTGTCTCTTTTATGAGCCATTTGCCGGTGATTAGTTACTTATATTTTTGTACTTATTAAAATTTAAAGTTTAAAATTTAAGATTCAAGTGGGTAAAATAATATCTCGTTAAACGAGATTTGAGAGTTTAAAATTTTCCTAACTTTGGAGACTGTTGTCTCACAAAAAGCATTCAACTTATTAAGAGATATTCTTGTGAGGCAATATGCAAAAAATTGATACTTTATTGATTAAATAGAGTGCTACTTATGACTTTTACAACATTATACTTATTAAAAATGAGAAAAAGTAAGATTTAATCCCAAGGCTACTGTATCGTAACTAGTAATTAAAATTATTATATAAAGTATCAGTAGCTTATCTTGGACCTCTAATTAAATAAGTCAAAAAAGTAAAAAGTTTCGGCTTCCGTAAAATTGTATGGGTGTGGTAAACTTTTTGGTACCCCTTTGTATCTTTTTATAAATTATTGATGTGAATTAAAAGTGTCCATTATCTGTATATCCCACAAGAAAAATATTCCATATTTTTCACCTTTACTGATCCCTAGCATTTTAGAAAACATCCCTCGTACGTTAAAGAAAGACGTCAAAATAAGCGAAACAATAAGCGAAAGTCGTGGGTTCGTAATAGCGACATTTTTTCGCCAGGAAACCAGGAAAGAAATCGCGCATATAAATATTCCGGGAAACCGCGACACGTGAGTGTCAAGGATCTCATGGGTTTCCTTTTCAACCGCAATGCACCGTAAGCAAAACAAATTGCGGACACTATAGAAGGATAAATGCCGACGGCATTATACGCTCGAAACGCTAAGAGCACTTGCCCCCAATCCCCATCCCACACCCCATTTCGACCACACTCTTTTCGCGAACGTATTAAAATAGAAAGATGTGTATTATTATTACGTTTTTCATTTTTTACGAGTATATTCCACATATGAAGAAATAGGTTGTTAGTCCAGTAAAACTAGACGGTGTCATGGGGTGGCGGGTGCAAAAGAAATTGTTAACAGACGGTTTTTTAGGGTAGTTGAAGGGCTATCTCCTGAGTATGAAGTCAGAAAATCACACTCGAAATCCGTCTGTGTGATATTGAAATAGGGATAGCTTCCTATCTATTTTCGTTTTTGGATTTTCTTTTTGGTATATACCTACACGCTAATATTCTCCACAACTTTGCCCTCATATATTTTTTTTATAACTTGTATATTTTACGCTCCAACTCTCGTTATATGAAAGTACATACCCCTTTGGGGTTTACGCAAAAGGAATGCTTTTTTTGCCTTACTTGTAGTTAAATAATAAAACTCACTACTGCTTTTCCTTACGATTAATTTGTTTAATGTTGATATTAACCAGCGTTAATAAATAAATAAGGCATTTTTTCAGATCTATAATGGACACTGTAGCGTAAAATATAAAAGTTATAAACAAATTTTATAAGGCAAAATTGTAGAGAATATTAGTCTGCATATGCTGGAAAACAAAATTTCCAAAAACAAAGATAAATAAGAAGCCACCCCTATTTCAGTACCACCCCGACGGATTCCGAGTGTGATCTCTTGGCTCCATACTTAGGAGACAGTCCTTCATCGACCCTGAAAAAATTAGCCTGTTAGATTTTCTTTTTTTGGACTAATTGTAAGTTTATTGTTAGATATTATTATTAACCGTATTTTCTAATATGTGTAGTCAAAACTGACACACCAATTGAAACTGTATTAAAGGTTCTTTGCTTCCCTTAAAGTAAGATGTCTCTTCATTTTGATATATTTTTATAGGTCTACATAATTTCTCGTTTTAGTTTTTACATCGATTTCGTTTGTGTCGTTTTTCTTCTCCGAATGCGCCATCCTATTCGGGATGATGACCTATTTTTCTGCAACGTAGCGCGCGTTGCAAAACGAAACCCTCAAGCGCTCTTTAATAGAAAGGAGGGGGTAAGTGGTCCGTGTTAAATGAAAGGGTGTAATTATGTGCAGTCTCTGTGGAAAAGGCGAAGTACTGGTACGCGAACTGTCATCAACCTCGTATAATTTCCCATCGTAACGTTATTGTTCCTTATTTTTTTATGGGTTTACCAGCGTGCGTTGTAATTATTCTGACGAAAAAGTGCAGATTAAATAAACATAATGATCTCAGTCTTGGTTTTGCTTTTCACGATCGCTACAGCAAAAGATTAGGAATATTAAAAAAACATTTGAAGAAATATTAGACTTTCGAAGAGAGGTTGTGAAAACCAAAATCATCATCATAAGGTCATCAGTCCTAAGACTGTTTGGACACGTACCTCCACTCTTTCCTATCCTGAGCTAAACTTCGCATTTCCCTAAAACTAGAACAGCCCACATCCTTAACTATTTGCGAACAGTAATCTAATCTAGGTCTACCTCTACCCCTCCTAACTCCTGTTTCTGCCTCTAATATGTCTCTGACTAGACCTTCATGCCTGAGAAGGTGTCCTACCAACCTATCTCGCCTATTTTTATTGACTTCCATAGAGTCCTCTGTTCTCCTATTCTTTCCAATACCTCTTCATTTATAACCTTTTCTACCCACGATATCCTCATCATCCGCCTATAACACCACATTTCGAACGCTTCTAACCTTTTCTTTTCCGCCGCTCCCACTGTCCATGTTTCACACCCGTACAACGCCGTGCTCCAAACATACACCTTTAACAACCTTGAAAACCAAAAAACAGCAATAAATTACCGATGAGCTTAAAGTAACTAAAGGTGTAACTAAAGCATTAGTTATTTATTTGACTGAAGAGTCAAGAAAATAGGAAGTATATAAGGTGGGATACCTAGCCGATTACTCTTTTCAAATTAATTTTGTATTGTTTTTGGTAAAAGCTATTGTGAAAAGATTTTCGAAACGAACAACTCGGAAATTGAAAATCTTTAATAGATACCTCCTCAAACATGTTTAATATGTGCTCGTACACTAATATTCCTTTAAAAGGGCTTGTTAGGCTTGAATGATCCATCCAGTTATATCCAACAATTCCGCCAAATTCTCAAGCGAGCGAAGCTTCAATATGTCATTGTCACGTTCATGCTAGGCGTCATTTTCATTTAATGCGAGACATAAAAGTGCAGTTTCGAAGCCAATTCCGTAAGTGCAGAAGAGGATGCAGACGGGATGGTGCCTGTATACGGGTATCTACGTGTGTGTTTGTCGGCTTGGAAGTAGTGGAAGGAAGCTCCCGCCCGATGGATAGGAGATAGGAGTGAAAGAGTCGGGTCGGTCGCTTTGAAAAATGCGGCTTTTCACGCCATTATGCCGAGGCATGGGTGAGATATCTCAAATTGAAATCTTAAAGTGATGAAAGTGCCACCATGTCGAGACGTCCCACTTAGTCAGGTAATCGATCGAGGACGACGATGCAACGGTCAAGGGTTGCGGGAATTGCAACCATCAATAATTCCATTCGAGCCGGTTCTCCACCTCTATCTTCTTATCTTCTTCTTCATCGTCTTCACTTTCGTCGCGTGGTCTCTCAATTCGCCATCGACTTCAACTTTATCTTAGCAACGATCATAGCAACTGCAACACACTCTTATCTACAAGTAATCACTACACATCTTGCTTTCCTGAGGAATCTGATAACGCGGAATAAATACATTCGTAATCCATGATAGAAAATTATCTAATGTTGTACAGCTGTCAACTATTAGCACTTACTTATAAGTAATCCCTTTTAATATTTCTTCCTTCGGTTTTTCAAGTAATTTAGAACCAAAATTTATTTTTATCATTCCAGTCCTATAGGTTTCCTACTTAAATCAACTAACATAAGCTCCTCCTTTTTTAAACAATTCTTTTTTCCTGAGTAGACCAGTTCCGATCGATATTTACTCTCTTCAAGTTCAAATTTTCTTAAGGTTTAGTTTAAACATATAATTGTTGTTATAAGTTTAGCACCCGAATACAAGAGTTTAACTTATACCTGTTTATGGATACCAATACGTTTTTCGGTATCCGGATACGGTATTCGGATCCTATTTGTGAATCCTTTGAGAACAATGTATCCGTTATCCCTATGCTTTCTAGTAACTATATATAATTTAAGGTTAACTTTTTTTTCTAACCATGTATCAAGTATTTAGAATACATTCTGCAACTAAAAGTATCTGTTTCTTCTATCCGGTATCCTGGCCTGGCTTTACAACCGGTATCTGTATCCGATATATGCGGATACATTTTACCAGTATCCGAACCCAACCAACCCTGATGCGTGTTTGTATCTAATTATATTATAACAAATAACGTCTTTATTAAACATTTACTTTTCTTAACTTACGTATAAATAGGTGTATCTCCCTTGCTGGTTGCTTTAAACCATATTACTATATGCATTTTGTCTCCTTGAACGATAGGCGTGATGTCGCAGGGTAAACTGGCCGTGTTGCCCTGAACAGTTTGAACTTCATGCATTGCATTCGCTGGAACAAGAAATATTAAATTTTACTATTACGTTTTATTTATAACATCTTATTAAAATTGAACCAACTATTAATCAGGGATAATTAGTTAAATCTTTGGTCCACTAATTCCAATTTTTTAATGATGCAATATTTATAAAAGGACATGGTTAATCAAAATTAAGGAAATATCATCGTCTCAATAATAATAATAATGCCTTCGTCGATTAGAGTTACTTCGTAACGTTTCGTTAGCACCAGTGGCAAGCTTCTTCAGAAGTCCTTGAATTTCCGATGCTGGCTGTGGATTAGATTGCAGTTGGAAATGGAAAGACCTGCGAAGAAGCTGTCCACCGGTGCTAGGAAAACGTTAGAAACCAACAAAGAACATTTGGACGTTTCATTCCCACCAGCCACTAATGTTGGTGGGCTGGGAGTTCCTACGAACTATGCCGGAAGGTAGGGCGGAAGGCCCTCTTGAGCGTCCTTTCAGGAATCGTGGGAATGGGTGGGTGGTGGTTCGGTTGAGAAAGATAAGACGGACGAAATGATGATAGAAGAGTATGAAAGATTATCTGTGGAATATTACTGCCTCATATAAAATAGTATTTTCGTATGGAACTAAAGAGCCGCATCTTCACATCCAAAGAGCCGACCCCTGGCCTAACCTAACCTAAGTGATCTAAGAATACCACAGGTAAACTTGGACCAAGGCAGACGGAGACGGAACCGAAATCGAACTGGCGTCCTCTCGAGTCAGAATAGCATCAGTTCATCTAAACTGCCTCTATTTGAATCATAATTTTTCTTATTATTATTTGAAAGTTGTTTTGCAATTTGGAGCACGTGAACAAGTACCTGCTCTATAAATTCTCAGCATATCGAAATACCGCAAATGATATGACGATCGCTGGGTGGTTCTAAATTACGTGAATGAGATACTGACATATTCATTTCTTCCTGTAAGCCGAGTAAGCACGAGCATTTGTGACAGTTCACTGGGCCGGTGGTGAAAGAAAAGTGGTTTTACCCAACGAAATTGTACACTTTTGTTTAATTTTGCAATTACAAACGGGGGGGTTAAGTTGTAGCGATGCGATAGGTATTTGAGGTATCGTGTTTCTCATTGAAAAGAGGAAATACGATTGTGTTAAAGTCATGTAGGTTGGTGAAGGGGACCTAAACGACTAGGGTGCCTCAACGAATTTTATTTCCTCGCAGTTGGCAGAACACATACGTATGATCAATATTTATGGGCCACCATTTACTACTACATATTACTGCTATTTAAAAAGTCTGAGTTAGATATGATGACTATAACAAGTCTCAAAGCAGGAATAAGTTTTATAGGAGTTTTATTGCATTATAAATTGCACCCTTAAAACTAAGACATACAGATCCGTACGTTTGGCAGGAGTATGACAAAATAATGGAGAAATATTGAACTAGTTCGAAAGATGTCAAAAGATGAAATCATGTCTCTACTTTATTCTCCCTTATACTGTTCATGATGTAGTTGCACATAACAGAAGTTTTCCCGCGAGCAATAAATAAAAGCCACAACTTTTATTTTGCCCGATGGGAAGCAAACATTTGTTTGAATGTACGACGGGGGCAATAACTTTTATGGCTTCTCAACCATTACTCTTTTAAGGCTGCTAATGCTAACATTTTTAAGAAAGCAGTAAAGCGACACAATGAAAATACCCTACGCCAATACAAAGAATCAATTTTCTTATTCGTCGTTCAACAACTGTTCGCCCGTATTGTTTTTCAAAGAAGTATTTAGGGCTAGATGCATCCATCATCTCCCTAATTACTTTAGATGAATAATTACGCAATTTCTGAACTTATCAGATGGAAAAACAATTGTGTGGTTTTATGAAACCACGATGCAAGTGAAACTTTTCTCATTGTAGGCATTTAACTGTAAATTTTCGGAAAATTATTCGATTTAGGGTATTAAAATTAAAATCGCGTTAAAAGTAAATCAATAGTAGACAAGATATCCAACTAATTTCAATCTGCGTATGAGAGTACGGAATACATAATAAATACGATCATTCAGATGATAGACGCATGTTAAAAACTGAGAACAATATTTATTTAAATCATTGAATCATTTTGAACTTCATTTATTCTATCAATAATTAATTTCATCTTCGCTTTGAGTTTCGCAGTTTATAAATGTGTCATGCACTTGCACGAATGAGTGAGAATATAAATGCTACACGCCTGCTCTGCCGATCGCCTTTTTTTTGATTGTACAATTATATTTAAAATTTCAAAAATTGCATACTTATTCGCATTTAGGACTTCCATTGTCAATTATTTTTTATTTGTACAACGTTTTGGACGGTAGTATCTTCAACCTTCCTCAAATACAATTGATGACGCTAAATTCCTATGCTATCGCTTTATAGATATTAAGGTGATGCGACTAATTGTTGCTAATCCTATGAAGGGATGACTCAATCGTGTCGATCTCCCAAGAAGTCAACATTATTGTAGAACTTTCATTAATTTATGTCAAACTGACGTTGAGTGAATATTGTGCTAGACTTACTGAACAGTCCGGGCTGTTTATTTTCCTTTTCGAATGAGTTATTCCTTATTTACTATTTTAGCTTTTTCCCAGTGAAAATGTGCTTTGTACTTATGATCTCCTTATTCAGGTCTATTGTTCGGCGTCGGTTAAAGTTACTTTCTAACGTAACGCTAGCACGAGTGATGAACTTCTTCCTTCTCTGATACGGAATGTGGACTGACCTCTGGAGAAGCTCCACACTCGTGCTAGGAGATCATCACAAGGTCATCAGTCCTAAGACTGGTTGGACACCCACCTCCTCCTCCTGAGCTAAATTCACATTTCCTTAAAACTAGAATATCCCACATCTAATTGCGAACAGTAATCTAGGTTTACCTCTACTCCTCTTAATTCCTGTCTCTATTATGTCTCTTGTCTCTAATGAGCTTGCTTTATAGATACTAAGGTGGTGCAACTAACTGTTGTTAATCCTAAGAGGTGATCAATGAACCATGTCGATCTCCTAAGAACATCATCAAGGAGTTATCAGGAGATCAGGATCACATTAATTCACCTGCTGGCCGCAATAACCTTTACCAATTTGCTTTGCACTTTGTTCTTTTAGTATTATCTCCAAAGGACGCTTAGCTTCTCTTGCATATAAATAACCACACTAATATGGGACTAGGTAGACGTAATCATTAAAAGTAGTTTTCGTAGTAGCAAATACCCACTAGATGGCGAAACATTACCTGTATTTAGGTATTACTTCGTAAGTTTTTATTTGATGTTCGTTGACAATAGATAATTGCAAACCTATAGGAAACACTTCTACGACTTCAATTGTCTTTATTCAGATGTTATCATATGTAATAAATAATTATTAAAAATTTAAGATAAGATAAAAATAATTACTTGTCATTTTTTATTAACATATAAAAAACAATTAATTTTTTGATTGGGTTGGTACTAACCCGAAAATAGAATTTTCTATTGTTTCAAAGAGACAGACATTATGAACATTTGATCTTTATTTCTGAATTATTTTAGTTAACAGCGTTTTTCATTAAACGCGCCATCTCCAAGAGTTAGAAATAAAAGAAAATAGCGCGAGAAACTTGATAGTTAGGTAATTTCGTGTTGCAGTTTTAATTTATCTCAGCTCGTCGTGCAATAAATTTATATTGAAACTGTAACTTTGACCGTATTCCGGGGATGTGTTTTATTGTGGTTCTTGCTAACGTCCCTGTTTCAATCCTTGGAACACGTACGTTCAATGATCCCCGTCTTAGATTTATTAACTTTACTTCAGCTTCAGCGGCACTGCTGCCTTTCGCTAATGATAAATTGCGGAGATATCGTGAAACTCTCGTGGCCCCCGTAACCCGTAAACCGTAACCGATCGAAATGCAACTCAGCGTTATTTCGTACTTTACAACTTCTCCCTTCTCGCCCAATAGTAGACGGATAGATGGAAGGTCGACATCAACACAACAGTGTAATCAATCTGACAAGATTTGGTATAAGTGTTACGTTCATCCAACTCATTTACAGAACAAATTCGATTCATCATCATTATCATAAGGTCGTCAGTCCTAAGACTGGTTGGACACGCACGTACCTCCACTCTTTCCTATGCTGAGCTAAACTTCGCATTTCCCTAAAACTTAAACTTTTTAAACTTTTGGGTGTTTCATTCCCACCAGCCAGTAATTCTGGTGGGCGGACAGTCCCTCCGGACTATGCCGGAAGGTAGGGCGGAAGGCCCTCTTCAGCCTGCTTTCAGGAATCGTGGGAATGGGTGGGTGGTGGTTCGGGTGAGAAAGATGAGACGGACGAAATGAAGACAGAAAAGAATGAAAGATTATCTGTGGAATATTACTGCCTCAGCATTTGCCTAAGTGATCCAAGGAAACCACAGAAAAACGTGGACCAAGGCAGACGGACCCGGAATCGAACCGGCGTCCTCCCGAATGCTAAGCAATGGTCTAGACTTCGGGAGGACGCCGGTTCCCTAAAACTAGAACAGGCCACATCCTTAACTATTTGCGAACAGTAATCTAATCTAGGTCTACCTCTACCCCTCCTAACACCTGTTTCTGCCTCTAATATGTCTCTGACTAGGCCTTCATACCTAAGAAGGTGTCCTACCACCCTATCTCGCCTATTTTTATTGACTTCCATAGAGTCCTCTGTTTTCCTATCCTTTCCAATACCTCTTCATTTCTAACCTTTTCTACCCACGATATGCTCATCATCCGCCTACAGCACCACATTTCGAACGCTTCTAACCTTTTCTTTTCCGCCGCGCCCACTGTCCATGTTTTGCATCCGTACAATGCCGTGCTCCAAACATACACCTTTAACAACCTTTTTCGAATTTCTAAATTAATTCGATTAAAGAACATATTTGCATATCTATCAAAAATCACGTTTTAATCAATACTAATATTGCTTTCTTTATAGAAATTTAGTTTTTATTTTTTACTTTTAG